CATGCATCAGCGTCCACGACCATTTTTCATTTATGAGACAGAATAAAAAAAGTGACTTGAACAAAGGGTCCACATTGACAAAGGTCTGGGAAGGTGACTTAAGGGTTGTAGATTTGAACCCCACAGTGATTGAGCCATAAACTCAACATACTACTGACTCTGAACCACTTGTTACTCCAGGTGGTCTATCTCTAAGTTCACTTTGGATGAAAGTCTCAACTATACAATAAATGATAAATCAGCATATTTTCTTGACCATATATTCAGAATTATCTCAAGAACATTCCAAACCAAATCCCTGACATTTATTAATCTCCACTACACTTTTGACAGTATGACAATGTATGGTACCCTGATTTATTGGGCAAATACAAAGCACACTGTATAGTAAATTAAATAACAGCATTGAAAATATTGTAGTACTGTCTATGTTGAAGATCTGGATTGGAAACTTAGGGTTGCAGGTTCAAGCCTCACTCATCCATGAACTATCACCATTCTGCCACTGATAAAGACCCTTCACCACATGTATGACTGAAGTCAGTTTGGATTAAATTTTAAACAGACCTTCTTTACCATATTTTCTGAATTATCTCAAGGATGCCTACATTTACTGATGTCCACTACAATTTTTAACCTAAGTGACAGTACCCTGAACTAATGCACTTGATCTTGATCTTACTATAAATTTAAACAGTAGGAGTAGTAATAGTACTCTACTGCATGGAGCATAGAGCGGTGTAGTAGCTTACAGATCTGGGTTGGTAAGGGTTGCAGGTTCAAACCCGATTGACCAAACTTGTATGACTTTCTTTCCTCTGCGGAACACAAATGATGATGTTTTGAAAAACAAACATTTGGTTACAATTGACTTCCACTGAATGGACAGAAAACACCAAGACATTTCTCAAGATATCTTCTTTTATGTTCACCAGAAGAAGGAAAGCCACACTGGTTAAGAATGTCATAGGGCGAGTAAAGAACTGTTTACTTTTGGGTGAACTAACCACATGTTACACTTTCAGAAAGGTACACAACTCTCGCTTGGACGGTACACTCTTAAAAATAAAGGTGCTTTAAAAGGTTCTTCAAGCGATGCCATAGAAGAACCATTTTTGGTTCCACAAAGAACCATTCAGTCAAAGGTTCTTTAAAGAACCATCTCTTGCTTACCTTTTTATAATCTGAAGAACCTTCTTTTGCCACAAAGAACCTTTTGTGAAACAGAAAGGTTCTTCAGATGTTAAAGGTTCTTTATGGAACCATTTAGACAAAAAGGTTCTTCTATGGCATCGTGAAGCACCTTTATTTTTAAGAGTGTAATACTAATATGTGCTTTTAAAGCACTATTGTATGATGTACAAACATGTATCTTTTAGGTTTTGTACATTTGGGTACTGCTGTTACCCTTTTTTCTGAGAGTGTAATGCAAGTCCTTTTGGATAGAAATCTCAACTAATAAGTAATAAATGAACACTTAGCCGAACTAATTGCTCTGATGAAACATTTCCGCGTGTGTCTGCCTCACCTGCGTCATCATGCGGTCCGTGTAATGCAAGTCCTTTTGGATAGAAATCTCAACTAATAAGTAATAAATGAACACTTAGCCAACTAATTGCTCTGATGAAACATTTCCGCGTGTGTCTGCCTCACCTGCGTCATCATGCGGTCCGCACCTGTGTTCTCCTCATCCTTGAAGATGATGTCTGGATTGTAGTTGGGTGTGAGCTCTTTAAAGCGCTCGGAGTTGCGGGTTATCTTCCCCTCATATCTTCCACTGGCTCCCAGCGTTTTTTCGGCAACGTTTGGACTGAACTGCTTATAGGCGAGAGGCGTGAGTTTCCTTGGAGTCCGTCTCTTGCCGTAACCTCTGCCCGGTCCACAGCTGTCGTACGCCGGCGAGAAAGCCAAGATGAAGCCGGTGAGGAGCGCCGCCGCTGTGGAGAGTCTCATGCCAACCGGTGCCAGCGGGCACTCCAAAAGATGGAGTGTCAAAGATGGTGAAGATGATGGTAAAGCGACCCTCCTCCCCCCAATCTCAGCTTCAGTCCCCGCGCAAGATCACCGGAGGGGGAGGAGGACCAGTCTATTAGGACACCTGACGCTCACCATCCTTTTACGCAAGGAAAGACACCCCGACAAACGTAGGGTTCCTCAGGCGTTGAGGCTGGTGCCAGCTCGTCGGTCCTCCTCTCAGGTCTGTAAAACTCGCTTTCTCTCAGTCCAAGCGGAGACAGGGGGAATAAATAGAGAAGTTCGGTTTATTTTGGCAAGCGCGTTTAGAATCGCCTGCAGGCGGGTCCTGGTTGCGCAGAGCCGCGGTCAGAGTGCGCGTCCCGCAGCGGTTTCTGGCTCCCGGCTCGGCTGTTTGACTACTGCGCTGTGGCGCGCAGCTCTCAGTTGAGATGGAAATGGAAGTGACCCGAGCTCAGATGCTACTGAAGCAGCCGCACCCTGCCAGTCCTGCCCTCTGTCTGCCTCTGCCCTCCTCTCCACCCCTCCGGGCAGACGCGCTTTATCAGCCCTGCCGCTCTCCCCCTGTACCGCAACCGGCGGCTGCCAAGACACGAGACAAACAGGAGGCGCATTACAGGTCTGGACTGTCGGACCCTGATGTGTCCAGTCCTTTGAACCTTAGCAGCAATGCTCTACTTACTGCCTGTCAACGGTACGTCAGCACACGCAGAAGTACTTAAACACACACACAGCTACCGCTTGGAGACAATGAATCTTTAATATGACTAACTGACAACTTAAGTTTTTATTTTTCAAAGATCGTTAAGTTTTTTTTTATATTTAAAATTAAATAAATTTGGCATTTTAATGCTCATTATTAATCCATTAAAATTGTATTAATTAATTTAATGAATAATGCAATTATTATATTAGATTTTCAGTTTATTTCCAATTTTTATTTGTAATTGTATTCGTATTTATTTCCCTTTTTTATTCGTATACTGATTTGGTTAAGGTGGACCATGCAATAGTAGTTTGATCATTTGTGACACTTTTTTTCGGCTCGGTCATCAGCAAAAGTGTGGCAGTGCAGCATAAATATTTTTTATAAATTCTATAAACATAATGGATATATTTGTAATCTTTAAATTAATTTCGTGCTATTTAAAAAAATAGAATTTTAAAATAAAAATGTTTTTTTATTATTGATGCTCATTATTAAACGACTAAAACTTTTCATTAATGTTTGTGTCACTTTTGTATTAAAGGTATGAACTTTTTTATTAATAATTATTAACTGTTTTATTTTTTATGCATTTACTTTTTATTTACTGCATGTAAACTGGTTTTGTTAAGGTGGACTGTGAGAATAGGACAGTTTGTGGACCACTTGACTAAGGTGGGACAGATCATCAGCAAAAGTGGGACAGTGGTTTATAGTGTTTAGATAATACATTTGCTACAACTGAAACTACAAAAATATATAACAATTTTCTGCTATTTATATAAATTACATTTGGTCAAATTAATCATATCCCTACTGAAAAAAATAAATAATTTCAGCTTGAGGTGGTCAATGTGTTTGGAACTTGGTAGATGGTTTGTTGCTGGTGCAAATTGGTCTTGAGGAAGGTCTACCAGGTCATCTGTGGCCACACAAGCTTGAAGTCTTGCTGATCCATCATCTAAATCAGCTTTGACCAGCTGCTGACCATAAATGACTAGCTTGGTGTAGCTAGAAGTCACGTAAAACCAATCACTACAATGTGGCTGTCAGGAAATAGCAAGGCTCTAGTACTGGCTGACATGTTTCATTATATGTTAGCTTATAAAAGAGCAGTAATAGTGTTCAACAATGTGTTCCAGATCGAGACGTGCAGTGATTGGTGGTCAGGTTTAGTTTCACTTACAGACACTGGAGACAAGACGTGAAGTGCCGTCTCTCCCAGGAACTCTAATGTCTTTAAAATAACACTAATGGCTTCTCCACTGAAGACGAATCACCAGTTAAATGCCAGAACTATTACCAAATGATACTGGTAGGAAAATTATGACAGTTCTGTGTCTCCTTCAGTGGCGCAGACATTTTTTCTGGTCCGCTGTGACCACACTGTTGACATCTTGAAGATGTTACTGGCATTGCTGAATACATTTTAATTAGTGTTTTGGCCAGGCATCAGAAAATAATTTGTGGACAGCAAAAATACTACAGTATAAAGGGATTACCCAGATCCTTCTATCAGTCTACAACTAGATTTAAAGCATCGTGCATTTCATATTTAATTCAGTAGGTTTTAGAGTAGTTTCACAGAGTCAGACTGTTGACTATTGGCATGCCGTCTGGTCCACTTTAAAGCTTACTCTAGCCTGAATTAGATGAGAAGGCATCTCGCTAACAGGTCAAACAATTAACCACAATTCACTTTTTATGTTATGTTTAGAGATGGATAAATCAACAATACTAGGATAACAGAACGACGTGAAACAAAGTGGTAGCTTATTCTAACAAAGGCAAAGCCAAAACCAAAGAAATTAGTGGAATATGTGTGTTGGGTTAGTGGTCAGAATTTCCGTCCATTCAAAAGTCCTGATGATTTTATGGAATATGAAGCGGAACGTACATTTGTGCTCAAGCATATCACATTTACTTGCTAGCAAGGGCCTCAAACTAAACTCTAGACATCTACTGCCACAAACCTTACAAACTTTTGTCTCGCCTTCTTTCTTAGAAGCACTGGTTGTAGCAGTCCGTACCCTGTAAAACACAGTTATCCTCCCAACAGACTAATAGAAACCTGTGCATCTTGACTTCTAAACATTGCGTAAAATTAGACGCTCAGATTTGAAATTGCAACTCATCTTATGCATACTCTGAGCATCTGTAATTTTTTCACATGCTGCCAGTTGGGGTGCATCAACCCTACCAATGAGAACAATGCAATATTTTATTCATTACTTTTAAAACATTCAGATGGACATACAGACTAAAATACAATAATAAAATGTCCATCATCACTTAAAAATCAAACCTAAAAAGGGTCCATATGTGCACTATTCTGATTCAGAAGCATGAACTGTCACCGAAAAAGCCCCACTGCTTTCTTCTTCTTCGGCCGTGAGGTGGAACGTTCCTCAGAACCAGCAGCAGCAGTTGATGCTGATTCAACAGCCTGAAAGAATCATTCAGAATTGGTTTGAATTCCCTCAAAGGAATAATCTGGGTCCAAAACCATTGATAATTTAAACTTTAATCTTTAGCATTTCTGTTAATTGCCACAGAAAATGATTTTGACTCACAGCTCGATTTATATCTGTAAGTCATATAATGGCTGCCCCATAGACTTCCATTGTAGGTGCATTTTTGTACATGTTTTGTTGAGCTTAATTTATATTCGACCCAGAATATTACTTTAATCACATCAAGGTGAGTAACATTTTGTAGCCTGTTTAGATGCATGTTTAAATAGTTATTTTGTTGAACTTGCAAAAACAAATAGAGGTCAAACTCAACCAGCCTAAAGGCTCATCAACGATCAACATTGGGTTCATGGCATGACAGTCCTCTGAAAGAATCAATCAAATATTTCATTTGTTAAATTAAAAGTTTACTGTCTGCCACCTGAGGTCTTCCCGATGATGCTTTGACATCATTCTGTTCTTGAGAAGCCAGTGAAGAACCCACATCTGCACAGCACAGCAGACAAGACAAGCAATGCTCAAAAATGACAAATGTCATCATTAAGTCACACTCATGTTGTTCCAAACCCATATAACTTTAATGTATCAGTGGAACACAAAAGGAGACAAAAAGGCACCATAAGAGTGTTCCATACAAATCCCGAAGCTATACAATAGCTTTGTATGCATAGCCATAATTTAAGATATTTCTATGCATGTGTTCACATGTGGTGCCTTTATATGCGTTTGATGCCCATAATGTTTGGTTATGACACACAGCAACAGCCAATGATGTTTGATACGACCAATGTCAAACCTGGCCGTATACAGGTGCAATACAGTGTAACAACACCCGTTCCCTCGCTCATTCTATGGAAAAGAGCGCAGCCAGGACATTCTGCAAAACATCTCCTTTTGTGTTCCCCAGACATAGAGGTTTGGAATGACTCCTTTAACTCGTGTAGTAAGCTCAGAGTCAGTGAGGCAGTAACCTGTGGGGACATCAGTGATGTGTTGGTGATGTTCAGCGACGTGGTTGTCTTCTGCCGCAGGGCTGCTGTCAGGAGAGTGTTTGCGTTTCTGACCTGTTTTCCCCAAGCTCACGGCCATATACAGTGCCTGCAACTCTGAGTCAAAACCCAAACTGTCCAACGTCACACCCATCTGTGGAACAATCTAGTAGACAGAAAAGAGAAAATGACCACACCATAAAGAAAGAGGAGACATTTAATTACTTATTAGTCTCCATAGAGGAACTGTCTTGGACTATTACTTTTCTGAGTGTCATTTCTTCAGAAGGAAAATGTTTTAAATGGAAAAATTGCTTTTGTAATATTATATTTTTGGGTATATATGTATGGGTAATGGGTATGTGACGGCAAATATGAATTTTCAGCATCATTACTCATTTTCAGTGTCACATGATCCTTCAGAAATCCTTCTAATATTCCGTGCAACATAAGATGAAGATTCCAGTCCTATCAATTCCCTGATGTGTAGCCACCAAGTTGTTAAGATCACACGACCAGTCAAACACGAATCACTTTATCTCCATAACCCCCCCTATTATCTGACACTTTAAGCTGCAGAATAAATGAATCATAGTTATGTCTGAGAACAGGCTGTTTCTACAGTGCCACTGGTAACCAGAAACATTTTCATTGCATGATGCTGCATCCACATTGATAGGTGTCAGTATAAAGTACACTGAAAGAAAAAAAAGAGAAGAAAGTACATAGAATTCAAATAAAATTTTGCCTGAATAAAATGAAAGCCATTTTAAAACAAAACCATGTGTATGCATTATGACAATTTAGAATTTGGGAGTGAAATGTTCTTAATGGTAACAAAAAATGCAACTACAAAGAAGTCTTAATGGTAAAGGTTGGGTGACCGCAAGTTCAACAGGGTAATGGTAAAGATGACTGCATTCACACATTTCCCAAACACATTCTCTTTCACAACAGAGAGGACAGATTCTCAAAAGTAGCTTGCCAAATATTGACCTGGTGAGATTGGTGACCACTGGATGAATGAAGGGCCCCTACATATACGTGTAGACATTTGGGGTTTACATTGATTTATTTTTATTATTTGTTTGTTGAAATATCACAAAAATAAATGAATGCTTTGAGTTCCTCTTTGGGGACAGAGAGGGCAATGTGAGGATAGAAGCCACAGTTCATGAGTGTGCACTTCCTGTCTCCCCTCAAATCATTTCTCCACTCCCGATCCTTTCATTTTTTTCATCTTCTTGTCATATCATTTGAGCAATTAAGTTGTTCTGCTGAAAACATGTGAGATTTAAAACTGAAATTGATTATATGTGCGCTGTACAATCACACTAGAACCAGGTCAGATGATCATGCATCATCATCTGTGTGCGTCAGAGAGGGAAGTGTCAGGAAAAGCGGTTCATGTGTTAGTGCATCATGTTGATACACCTATTCATAGCAGGTAAACAGCATTGGCTGGTTTTTAGTGGTTTGTGGAAGAACCCTAAACTAATGGAAGATTCCAGAGAGCGTCCTGATTCTTGTTCTGAGTGCTACACTTTGTTGGTGAAGGGCAAGCATATATTTCTGAGTGTGCAGTAAGATATTGAGACATACTACCAAAATTGTGACTAATTCATTAACTTTCAAACTTTAAAAAATTACTTATCCTGTAGATTCATACATTTAATGCATTTTGTGGCAGTATCTATTACTATTATTGCAATCTCAAATATGCGTATATACATTTTCATATATCGTATACAATATATATACAAATTTGGTTGGTACACCCTACAAAGCTAGTGCCCAAAGACAAATCAGAGACATTTGATTTTGACATCATAGCAGCATAATTCTTTGTGAAAATTCATTACAATTATTAATATTGAGACATATTATTACAACTTAAAATAACTGTTTCTATTTGAATATATTTTAGATTACATTTAATAAAAAAAAAAAAAAAAATGTATTCCTATGAAGGTAAAACAAAAGTTTCAGTGTTTTTGTACATTCTAAATATCTCTGGTGCTTTGGATCAATTTAATGCATCCTTGCTGAATAAAATAATTATTTTATTTTTTTTAGTGGCGAAATATGACCCAGACCTATCTTTAACAGATTTCATGATTCAGATTTAGATTGTTATTGCAAATAAAAGTTAACATAAAAAAACCCACATTGCCAGCCCCAAAATCACTAACAATAAATATGAATAAACTGCATGTTTTCTTTTATTACCTGAATTGAAACCAAGTACACACACACACACACACACACACACACACACACACACACACACACACACACACACACACACACACACACAGACAAACACAATTCATGCAGAGTCTCTACATATACATAAATGATCATATACT